AATAATTAATATTATATAAATTAATTAGTTTATATTTTATACGACTTTTATATTATTATATATATCTGAATAAATCACTCTAAATATAAATAAAAAAATAATAATAATAAATTATATATTTTTTCTATTTCTGCAGCTGGATTCCTGGAATTAATAAATTATATATTAAAAAATTATTACTACTGTCTTAAAATATAATCTAATATAAAATATTATTAAATCATATCTAATAATAATAATAGATCTCTATAATAATAATTATTAAATAGTAATACTTACTGGGGATCTATTATATAAGTTAACCAGAATTTATATTTAATATATTTAATATAAAAGAATTATTTACTAGTATACAGAAATAATAGCTTACTGAATACTGATTATATTTAGTATAATTAATATAAATTATATAATAAAAAATATTATCAGAATAATTTTTCTGTAAAAATAAGATACTGGCAGTACCAGAAATATATAAAATAACTATAATATATAAAAAAAAGAGAAATAATAATAGCTATAATAATAATAAATATAACAGGCAAGACAGGCACAGCAGATAAAATAAATATAATAAAAAAAAATAAATACAGTATTAATAATAATAAAGATATTAGTGGCAGTAGTAATAACAGTATAAATAATAGTATAAATATAAATAATATATAAAATATAAAAAAATAAATTATCTATATTAATTTTTTTTTATTAATTTTTTAATAAATAGTTATATACCTGGCCACATACTTCTAAAAAAGGAGAAGGAAATCAGCAGCTTAATATAAGAATATATATAATATATAATTTTATAATCTATATAATATAATTTTTATATATAAAATATAGAACATGTATTCTTATTATATAAATTATTATATAAACTACCGCCCACGCAGAACAGCAAGGAAAATATATTAAATCATTATTTTTATAAAATAATAAAAAAATATATAAGCTATTTTTATATAAAAAAATATAAATAATATAAAGAAATATTAGAAATTACTATTACTGAGTAAGTAAGCCAGTATAGTAATATATTATAAAAAAAAAGATTTATAAAAAAAATAAAAAGAAAATCTTTAATTTTATATAATTTATTATTATAAATTAAATATAATAAATAATAAAACTATTCACAGGTAAGCTTTTATTTATTAGAATACAGGGCTGCGAGGCTATATTTATTATATTATATTAATTTATTATAAGATATATATATAGTATTGCTCCTATGTATAGAACCCTGGAATAGGAGAGCATGTTATATATTAGAATATATTATATATTAACAGTAGGAAAGAGTACAAACAGAATATTTTAATTAAATTTTCATAACTTTCTGACTTTTTAATTAGAAAGTATATAAAATTATACAGCTTTTTTTACAGCCTCGGGGGCGCAGTCTCTAGAAGAAGAGAATAATATTAAGATAAAGTTATTAAATTTGCTGTAATCTAGCAGGTCATGTGAGTAATATACAGTCGCGGATCACGTGGAATAGGTAAGATCATGTAATTTATTTTTATATTATATCTCGCTGGCCCCCCCCCAACACTGCGGGAGGCCAGTAATCAGTTCCAAGCAGTACGGTAGCTAGTGTTCGCACATATAATTGAACTTATCACGTCTCCTACACCACCCTTAACACTTACATTTCTCCCTTATATTATAGTTAATTTAATAATAAAAATCATATTTTATTATATATTCCGCTTGATTTCTTCTACTATAGAAGAATATGATACCAATGCTGGCTAGGCTTTTATAATTATATTTAAAAATATAATGTAATAAATATTTTGACTGGCAGAAGACTATTCTAAATTTAAATTAATATAATAATATTAAATATATTATATTTAAATAAATTTATAAATTAGTTACGATATCGAAATATACAAAATGTATTGATAATTATTAAATCAATTTAGAGAATATTACAAGTAATTTAAATAGATATTTAATATATAATTTTTTATTTAAAAAATATATTAGAATTTATCTTGTTTCTTATTAATTACTATTCTATTATAATTTTATTAATTTCCTTTTTTATTACTTCTACTATCCATGCAGAATATTATATATATAATTATACATTATTATTATATTTATTATCTGGAGATGATAGCTATATAATTGAGATAATATTAAAATATTATTTAAATATTAATATAAAAATAGCCCGTGTACAATATTCCAACATAAATAGGATAGAATAATAAAAGTAATTTTAATAAATACATAATATTTTGTAATTTTGTTAGCTTATTATTATATTTCTTATTTTTGTGTTTATTTCCTAGAAATTTTCTAGATTTAAGTATGATTTGGCTGGTGAACTAAAAATATATTAAATTAAATATATTTATATATTATCTGTTATATTATAGTAAAATAATACTATACTTTTCATATGCTTAAATATTTCATTAAAAATTTTTATTTTCATATACTTAATCATATCATTAAAAACTTTTTATTTTTTTATTTTTTATTTATTTTTATTATCTAATTCTGGTATCAGAAATAATATATTATGATCTTCATTAATATTTTACAGTTTTAACAGGGAGACACAAAATATATTATAAATTTATTTATATTTTTTTGAATAACTATAAATAATATACCTATATTCTAATTCATCTTGAAACCTGAAAATTTTTATAAATTTCTTTAAGATTAAGTTTCTCAATTTCTTGAGCTATAGATTCTAGCTGAATAATTTAAATAAATTTATTTCTTAGAATAAAATAATTTTCTATATTTATTTTAATATGTTTTTTTTACTTCTCTGTGGCTGTTTACTTAATTTTTGTAATCATTTCTTATTTTTAATTCTAATATAAAAGTCTGGTAATTATTTATATAAAATAATATATGATAATTATACTATAATTAAATTAGTTATATTAATATATATAAATTAAGTAATTAGCAGTATTACTAACCAGTCAATAGTAAATTATCTAGAATTATATTATATATAGTATTTTTAGAATTTAGTTTATTCTATCTATTTATTTATCGGTTTATAGATAACATACTGTAAAAAATTAAAGACTATATAATAATTATAAATTAGATTTAAGTAAAGTTAACTAGTAAAGATTAATTCTTCATTAATAATAATATTATTTAAAAATCTAGAGATAAATTCAATTTATTTATAATAAAGTTCAGCAAGGTCTAGAACTGTAATTATAAATAAAATAATAAAGAAAATAGAATACTAAAAAATAATTAATAATAATAAAAATAGCTTTCACGGTTTTCTTAAATTAAATATAATCTTAATATAACTTCCAGCTGTACTAGTCATCTACCCGTGTTAACCACTCCTAGCACACCGCTCTAGAATTATTATACTATTTATTACTAATTCATATCCTTTGATAGAAAGAGTGGTTATATGTAGAAATATATTAAATAGTATACTAGATGGCCGGTGCAGCCGGAAGCTATATTATAATAAAGTCTATTACTAATTCAATAAAAGATAAGAAATTAGTAATAAAATACTTAGAGCAGTCTTATCTTGATATATTAGATAAATTTCAATAAATTTATATATAATCTATTTTAATAGAATTATTTATATAATAATAAATTTAGTCCAAATTTTTCTAAAGTATCCCGCCAGCGGGTTTCATAATAAAATAAATAAATATTTCATATAAAATTTTAGATAATAGAATATTATATTAGATTTTAAAATAAATTTGATTATTTAGTGCTTCTAGTATAATTATTTTTATTAGATAATAATTTTTTAGTATTATATTCCTGTATCTAAATCTTATAAATATAAGATTATCATTCAGAATTTAGAATTATATATATTTAAATATAAAATCTCTGCAGTACATATCTATAGTACTATAAATTATAAAATAAATTTCTTTAAGAATAGGTTTTTTTCTAAAAATTATTTAGTTAAATAATTTAATTAGCTATATCTATACTAGTTAAATTATCAGATCTTTAAATTTAATATAATGCAGATACTGACTGAATCTAGGATGATTTTATATATCTTAAAGTTTAAATAAGTTATTTTCAACTAGATTTCTAATTAGTAAAGAAGATATATAAATTATTTTTTAAATTATATTAATAATTTCTTTAAAAAACAACAGGCTCTACTTAGATTTTCTAAGTAATTTAAATAATATTTTTATTAAATTAACTTTCCTGTTCTATGTTTGATAATAAAGTTATAAAAAAGTAAATTTATAAATTATTAAGCTTATTTTTTATTAACTCTAGTTTAATATATAAAAGATTATAAGCTTCAATGATTAAATAGAAATTAGATTATTTGAAAAGCTTTTAAATGTGGTTTATTTCTATAAGTTAAAAAATATATTTTATATATTTTTTTTATTGACTAATTTATAAGTTAGGAATAACAAATAATATAATATAATCTTAAATAAATCATCAGTGAAAATTATAGAAATTTAGAAAGATTTAAATATTATAATGATTTTCAGATATTAAAAATAGAATAGTATTATTTAGTTATTAAGAACCCATAGATATATTATTAGATATTAATAATATATTCTAGAAATTTGACTTGAAACTGGTAGAATAAATATTTTAATAAATTATATTAGAATTAAGTTTTTAAAGCTTTTTTAATATTTAATAAATATACTTTATATAAAATATCTTAGATATCTATCTATATTACAGTACAAATCCAGGTTACTTATCTAATTTATTTAATTTAATTAATCTATTAAATCTACTTGACCTTCTCCCTTTTAATTATTTTATATATAATCTATAATTTTCTTAATCTCCTGCCTGCTTTTAATTTTATTATAACTCTCCGAGTTACATCTTGTCTATGAACCTGAGAATAACCTGACTAAGTAGCTAGAAAATAAAATCTAAAAAACTTATATTAAAAAGTCTTTAACTAGAACTATTAGTCTTATTATCTTATCTGTAACTATACTAGTCGGCCAACCCGCACCTTGATAATTTAGTAGAAAAATAAGAACATTATCTAAATATATTATATAAGTATTATCAAAAAGCTTATAAAGTATTATGTATATATCATTCTAAAAGAATACCAGGATGTCAGTAATTTGGATAATATAATAATATATTTAATATAATTATATTAAATATAAAGATTATTTTTTATTTATCTTTTTTAGAATTCTTAATAGTATATATTCTTGATATTAATACTAAAAAAATTATATTATCTGAAAGTCTATAACTGTAATGAGAGATAAGAAATAATAAAAAAATATAATTATTATATATTTAAAATATAAAAATAATAGAAGTTCCTGTAAGATTTTTAAAGAACTAAATTTAATATTATTTCAGATTCTTTCTAATATATTTTTGTGGAATCTTGAGTTCAGTCTTCAAGAAAAAATATAAAAATATATAAAAATTTATTATTAAATTTTAAATTATTTTAAGAAATTAGAGAACAGAAAGAAATAAGACAGATAAAATATTATTCTATTAAAAATAATTCTATATTAATAAGTTAATATGTAGATCATAGAATATCATTAATAATAATAAAATTAAATCATTTTTTAATTAGGGATCCCTGTTAATTTCTATATAATATTATTTAAAAATATAGATGTTTCTTATATGTTAGTTTTTTATATTATATATATATATATATATATATATATAATCGTTTGATTAGTAGCTTTCATTCTGAATGTAGTAACTAGGGTATATTATAAATTATAGATTTTAATAAATTAATAATTAATGATATTCATTTCAATATAATTATCTAGGTCCGCAAAGGTTTCAAGATTATTTTGAATATAAATAAAAATATAGAGAAATAAGTAGTTTATATTATAAATAAAAAAATAATATTATAAATGATTAAAATTATTAAATTTATTTTAATTTCTTTATTTTTTCCCTGAATCTGACCACAATTAGTACGTCTTAATATATTGATCTTTTTATAATTTAATATAGTGTTGGTTTATAAGATATTAAATATTATTATATATAAAACATTATAATTAATTACTATCTTTTAGTAGAGTTTCCTTGTAATTCAAGATATTATATTTATTCTAGTATATTATAACTTTAAAAGTACTTATATTAATTATAACTATTAAATTAACTATTATTTTCTCCAGACTTTTATTTAGTAATTTATAGTTTATAATAATATATAATAATAATTACTATTTAATTTTGTTCTTCTGGTAGGTGGAAAATATATTTTCAAAAATAATAATTTCCTATAATAAAGAATTTTACTATAATAAAGAGTTTTTTCTTTTCTACCTGGCAGGAAAAGTATTGTTTAATAATCTTAATATAAATATAAGATTTTTCTGATTTTGACTGTATTACTAATAAACTTATTCAAATTAGATTACAATATCTGATTAGAAAATAATTATATTTCAAATTATAATAATAAAATTTAATTTAAAATAATCTTTAAGAAATCTTTTTTTAAATTTTTATTATAATAAAAAATATTATCCCTGTCTGTATATTAGATCTATATAATTAATAATCATAAAAATCTTGTTTTTTTAAATAAGAATTTCTTAGAAGTTGGCTGAAATATATATATTAAATTAACAATTTATTTCTAATATTTTCAGAGCTTAAAACTTAATATAAAATAAAAGATATTCTTAAATCTAATCTTTCTTTTATCTCTATTTAATTTAGAAGTGAATCAAGAATATCTTAAATAATCTTATTAAAATAATAATTTTCATGAAAATAAATTATTATTTAAAGTAAATTAAAAGTTTATTTTAATTAATAAATAAAGTTTCTTAGTTATTGCATCCCCTCAACAGTAAAATTAATATTTGATAATAATTCTGAATTAATTTAATTATTAAATACTTTAATTCTGATTAATTTTAATAGATAGTATTTTTCCTAGGTAGTTAAAGAAGAAATAATCAGAATATAATTATAAGATAAAAAATCTATTAATTAAATAAGAAATAAAATATTAATTAATATAATTTATATTCTAATAATAAAGATAGCTTGTCTCTAGATATAAAATAAATTAAATTTTCAAAGATTAATAGTTTTATATAAGAGAATAAATATTTTATAAATACTAGAAAAATATAGAACTGTTATTAATTATCTTATATTATAGAACAATCTAGGGAAGTTATATACACAAGGCCAAAAAGACTATCATTACCCGCAGCTACCTGCGGATCCCTAGAATCTTGCTTATATAAATATGTATACACGGGAGGGAATAGATCTATTACACCTATAACTCTTATACAGTTATATCTAATATTATATATAATTTCAATAATCTTATTCCTGATAAATAGATTGTTCTATCATAATAATAAATACAAAATCTTATTAGATTCTTAAAACTGAAATTTATATGAATTTCATAAAATTCTTAATAGATATCAAACTTAATAAGTATCTTAATATTTTTCAGCCGGTCTATTATCTTATGATTAAATAAGATTAAATAAAATGTTATATACATTAATATATTTATTTTATTATAATTAATATATAGATATAATCCTCCTCCGGGCTTATATACTATAAAATAAGATAAATAAATAATATTATACTAGAAATAATAATATTTCTAAATTTTTAATAACATATTCTTGAGCTGCTTTAAGTTTTTTAAAATCATTTTATATAAAAGAACTACACTTAGTAATTCTCTTATTTATTAAAATAAAGGTAAGATGACAGGGAAATATCTAATTTTTTTTTAAAAAATATTAACCAAGTTATAATAGTTTGCAAATATAATTTATTTAATTTGTCATTTTATAAATTCAAGATTTGATCCATAGAATTTAGTTTAAGTTATCTTTTTGATTATATACAAAATTATAATATAATAGATATCTAAGACTTCTGGTTTTGAAATATCTGTAAAATATAATAATTTTATTTGATATATTTTTATTATGAGATCTTAGAAATAATATAGACTACTGATACTAGAAGTTCTAATTATAGAAATTAAATTTTACTTTGATTAAAATCTTTTATAGAAAGCTTTAATAAATTTATAATAATATAAATTTATATTCTGGGAGTAGTAGAGAATATAATATTTCTAATATCTTTTAGAATCTTTATTTTAGTAAATAGTATTCTGCTTGTAGTTTTAATTTATGAAATCTGAATCAATATATTTAAAGAAATCTAATATAATAAATTTATTTTAATTTTATTTTATAATAAAAACGGATCAGGCTAAACAAGCTAATAATATAAATTTTTTATAAAGATTTAATTTAATAAATTATGTTTTGTTTCATATAATATCATACTAAATAAGATTAAGAATTTAGCAAAATATATTATATTACTATTAATTTATAATAAAAAAAAAGTAAATAATTTATATTAAAAATATAATAATCTTTCTATTAAATCTTGTAACAATATATCTAGTAATTTGTAAAATTATTTTACTTTATAGTTAGTATGCTAACTTTATTATAAATATAGATATATTCTTATAATAACTTATAATAGTTATTAGAATACAGATAAATACTGTTAATTTATTTTTTAAAATTAAAATATTAATTATAAAATTTCTACTCTTCTGTTTTACCAGATTACGTAAATCTAATATATTTAAAAGAATTTTATTTTATTTAAAATTAAAACTGTTTTTATATATTATCTTTTATTTATTTATTTTCTTGTATAATATCTAGTTATTTAACTTGTTAAATTTTTCCCTTAAAAATTTCTAATTGAGTAATCTTATTCTTAATAAACAATATATTATTTTCTAGTTATTATATAAATATAGTTCTCTGGCTCCAGACTTAAGATATTATTAAAATATTTTAAAAAAATTAAATTATTAGTAAAGAGAAGAATCAGAAAATAATATTATTATAAATTATTAATAACATATAATAGAGTAATAAGCCAGCTTGGTAAAAAATTTTATTATATAATTAATAAAATATAAAGTACTAGTACAGCACCCAGTAAACTTCAAATTTATTTTATTATTTTTAAGTAAAACTTACTATTTCTTCCTAACTTTTAATTCTTAATATAAATTAATTTTTAAATAAGTTCTAATGATACTAACCTGCACTGTTAAGTACTAATATATAGAATCAGAATTATATAATTCCTTCCATTCTAATTATCATTTTTAATTTCTGATATCAGCATCAGGTGTTACAAACTTCAGATTAATAAAAATTATTTTCTATTATATCAGTATATTAGTAAAATTTTTATAAAAATTAATTACTTCAGAATAAAATCAGAAAATCAAATCTTTTTAAATATTATTTTACAGTGGCTGTTTATATATATCCTAATAATTAAAATAATTAGATGATCTGCATTAACTTCTATCTTTTATTATATTATAGTTAATTAATTTTTAAAGACTAGAATCTTTCCATTATTAAATATCAGAAAGTTAGAAATTTTTAATAATTTTCTTAATATAGAAATCTCAGCTCTCTAATTATTATAAATTATATAATATATTATTAGTACCGTCTATATATAATATATTATGTTTCTAGAAAGTATTATTATATTATTTATTTAATTTATTATATGTGTTATACTTATCCGCTATACTATTTAATTATATTTCAATTTCATAAAATTAAAAAGTACATTAAAAAAACTTTTAAATTTTCTTAAATTTTTTACTAAATATTTTCTAGATATAATCTTTATATTTATCAATTTCTATATTTAGTAGAATAATCAAATATTGTTTTAGATTTTTTTATATAAAATCGATTCCATTTAATTCTCTTTAGCTATTATAATTCATGATATTTATTAATTAATAGTTTTCTTAGATTTAGTTAAGGCTGTTTTATCTTTATTATTTTAATTTTATTAAGTATATATTAGAAGGATTATAGCAGTCTTACTAAATAACTAGTTATATAAAATACTAATTAAAAAGTAAATGTTTATAGTATTTAATAGTATATAAGAATTAATTGAATATATTCTATTTAATATAATTTGAACTGGAATATCGAACATAAGAAGAAAAGGGAAGAAGTATAAAAAATAAATATAAATAATAAAAATCTATAAATAAGATAATGTAAAAAGAATAAATAAAAAATAATTATATAATAAATAAAATAAATAAAATTATATTATATATCTCAGTCATGTCATTTTTTATAATAAATATTATATACATTATAAGTTTATATATAATTAAATTATATTTGTATTTATTTTTACAAATATTTTAAGTTTTTCTTTTTCTGGAAGTGCATGGGCAGATATATTATAAATAAAAAAATCTAGTAAATTAAATAAATAAAAATAAGTTATTTTTTTCTATTTCTTATACTGTCTGTGCCTGTGCCACAGCTTATATTCATAGTATTTACAATTTTATTATTACCTAATCTTCTTATATTTATTTTACTCTCTTATCTCTTGCTATTATTTTTATTAATATTTTTTATATATCATAATTATTTATATATTTCTATATCTACTAGTACTTTGTTTTATATATCTTATTTCAATAATCTTTATTATATAATATCTATAATATCTGTTGATTATAATAAGTATAAATATTATTTAGCTAGTCACTGCTCCTGTATATTAATAAATAATTTTTAATATCAGAAATAATAAATATAATCTTAATTTATATTACAAATTTCAAGTAAATATTATCTTTTAATAATTATTATAATAAAGATTTACTACTGCTGCTGGACATAGCCTAATAATATTATATATTAAATTTTATATAAAATAATAATATTACTTTTTTGATATTTAATCTACTAGGTCCAGGAATTTAACTACAGAGATAATGAAGATGTATAATTTATTACTATTTTTTTAATAATGAAATTATAATAGATTAATTATATAATAATAATTATTATATATAAATATATGTAATATAGTTCTGATAAAGTATAACTACTAGTAGAAAAATAATAAGAATTCAAAATTATTTTTATTCATGATTAGAGTCTGCTTTCTATATTAATTAGTATAAGTAATTTTGATTAACTTATATATTTTTTTCAGAGTTATAATATTATTGTTATACTAGAAAAACTTTATAATTCTTCTAATTTTATATATAAGAAGTTTTTCTATTAGCTATCCCTGATACTTGTTAATTAGTATTAAAGGTAATAAAATTTATTTATATAGAATTAATAAGGCTCTAGAAATAAGATATAGAAAGGTAAATATAAAATTTTATATTCTAATTCTAATTATAATTTATATAACTGTAATCTGCAGGAATAAATTATTAGAAAAATCTAATTTATTAAAAATTAAACTTTTTATTTAATTCAATAATTATAGTATTTCTAATTTATATTATAATATTTTATTTTATCTAGAAAGACTCTTTCTTGTATCCATAGTAATATTAGTTTATTATTATTTTCTAGTTTGATTGAGTAATATATAAAATAGTTTTACAGCAGGTACTTTGCCAGGAGAAGAGTTATAATTTATATTAATTTATAATTAAAATATAAAATTACTTAATACTTTATAAGATATAATTTTTAAACTGATATTATAAGTTATATTATTCGAAATTATCTGAGTTATTAGAAACCATCAAATTAGATTATTTTAGGAAAATCTAGAAAAATTTATAGATAATATTTAGAAATCTGCTTCTAGTATTCCGTCTGCCTGTTTATTCATAAATAATATATTATTAATAATTATTTATAAATAATTATATAAATAATTTTTCTGTCAGCCTCTAGCTTCTTTACATTTTTATCAATAAATATAATATATTAGCATGTTAACTTTATAAATTAGAGGTATATAATATCTTTTTCAGTATAATAAATAAAATATAAACTTAATATATATATTTATTATTATTGAAATTATTATTAAAATTCTTTCTTTCTACTTACTTGGAAATAAATTTATAATGAAATTTATTATATTATTATTTAATATTTATTAAACTACAGTAGTAGCTCCAGCTTATTATAGAATATATATTAAAGAATTTTATTTTACTTCAAGTAAAAGAACAAGATCTAGATACTAATTAAATATATTTATGAAAATGTTTTTTGAATTAGTAACTAATTATAGAATCCAACAAATCCAATACTCAAAATAATATATTTACTAGATTTATCAAGAAACCATTTTCTTAAGTCTAGGGCTTAAGAAGATTTCAATATTAGTTTAATAAAAATTTATTATGATTAATAATTTAAATATTCAAATGATAATGCTATTATTTAAAAGGTTTTATAATTTTAAGATAATTTTAAGTTATTTATAAAATAGTTAACTCTATTTCATATCTATTATTTCTTTAGAAGAAATAATAAAATACTAGATTCCTTTTATTTATAATTATAATATAAATATATTAATTATAACACTAAAGATGTCTATCTTAAACTTAAACAATAACTTTAAATCAAAATATTATGAAAAGAATATATTTTGAAAACTTTCAAGTTTTTAGAAATTCTTGTATTATATGGAAGGCTTCATGAATCAGAGTAGAAATATATATTATTAGATAATTTTATTTTC